ACGCTGCCACTGTGCAGGTTCAGCTGGTCGTGCCCGTCGCCGTGGTCTTCAGCCCGGGGTCCGTGCCCGGGGACCTGCCGAGCCCGCTGCCGTTCAGGGACGTGCAGGAGATGAAGATTTCCGTGAACCGTGAGAAACACCCCCGCCCCCCTTGGCTGTCCTTGCCCTATCTGTTCCTCCTGGGTACCCTCGTTCTTCCCCGAGGGGTCCGAGCCTACCCGTAGCTTCTCTCCCGGGCAGCCCAGAGCTCCCCAGACCCCAAACCCACGTTCACCAGCACGATTCTGCCCTGAGCCGGCAGTGCAGGGAGCAGAGGGGACAGCAAGGTCTCCATTGTGCTGCAGGGAAGGGACCAGCTTCTCTCCCTGGGGATGTAGACGAGGGAGCCCTGGGAGGGTGGGATATGCCTGGGTGATGAGGGACTGCTCTGCTGCCTGCACTGGCCAGCTGATGCCACGTGCCATGATGGGTCACCAGCTGGTGCCCAAAGGACCTTGCGGCATGTGTCCTCCTGGGGTTGCACCTTGTCCCTCTGAGCCACCTCTGAGGGGCCTGGGGACCAGGATTAGCAGATTCATTCAGCTTTATCCCCCTGTAGTGAGAACCAGCGTCACATCCCTCTATGAGATGGCCTATCGGGCCACCACAGCCCAGGAGGAGGCAGCTCTGGCTGCGGCCACTGCACGAGGTACTGGAGCAAGGGACTGGTGAAGAGAGGTGCTGAGCACCTCATCATTGCTGAGCAAAGGGCACACTGCTGTGTCTCAGAGTGGGGATTGGAGTGAAATTCCCACCCTGCTGATGACTCTGCGTTCCCCAGAGGCTGACGCTGCTCTGCGCCCGCTGCAGGACGTCTCGATGGGCTCCCTGACCATGTATGTGGTCCCTGAAACCTCCTCTCTCCTGCCTCAGGTAGGAGGTGCTTCACCCCTCAGAGGTGCCCCGGGGGGAGGGATGTGTCACAGGTGGCTGTCACAGGTGGCACTGAGGTGTTCTCCTGCCCATTCCCCAGGGCACCAGCGTCTATGTGGGGAGGCACCGCAGCGCCCTGGTGAGGGCCGAGGGGGGCCTGGCTGCCCTCCACGCCCGCCTCCGGCAGGTGACACAGGTGATGTCCTTCACGGCCACCTCCATCGCTGCCGCCCTCTCGGACCGCGTGCCCGACAGCCGGCTCAGCCCCGACGCGCGGCGCTCCCTGAAATCCAGCCTGGGTACGGACCTGACCTGGGGAAAGCCCGCTTTTCCTGGGGGAGATCTCCTCTCTCCTCCACTTGTAGCATCCCTGTGTGTCTTCTGGGCTAACAGACCCCGGGGTCTTCCCTTTGCAGTGTCTCTGGGGCAGGGTTTGTGCTGTGATTGCTGTGATGGGGCACTGGTGTGGACTCTGCATTGGGGCAGGCCAGGGAGGAGGGGTCAGGTCCTGCTGCTCTGGGGAGCTCTGTGACGGTGCTGGCTGTGCTGGTGCCTCACAGGCCGTGGGTCCTTGGCAGGGTATGAGATCACCTTCAGCCTGCTGAACCCTGACCCCAAGTCCCACGCCGTGGACTGGGACATCGAGGGGGCCGTGAACCGGTACGTGAAGCCCGTCCTGGACAAACTGAGCTTGGTGGCCAACTTCTCTGTGGACTCACAGGTGAGGCCTGGGAGAGGCAGTGGGGAAAGCCCAGCCCTGGGCTCCCCGGGTGCCCTGGGACGCACTTCTCTGCCAGCAACGTGTCCCTTGTGTGCCCACAGATCCTGTACTACGCTGTCCTAGGAGTGACACCACGCTATGACAAGGAATCTTCCAGCTTTCTCCTGAGTGCTCACAGCCTCCCACACGTCATCAACCCCGTGGAGGCTCGCCTGGGTGAGCACCATGCTTGTGTGGATCACTGAGATCTGCCTCATGGGACCTGGCTCTGCTGAGGGAGAGGGGACAGCTGTGCCTGTGGCCTGTGCCCTTTTTCCCCGCCAGCTCTGGATGGGAGCAAGGGTGACTGAGACCTGCCAGTGTGGCAGTTCTGCTTGGGGCTGGCTGTGAAGATGGAGCTGGGCTCTGGGCTGCTCTTGCTCTCTCTGTTGGCCAGGAGAGTTTTTTGACTCTGTCCCACTGCAGGCTCCAGTGCTGCCTCACTCTACCCCGTGCTGAACTTCCTGCTGTATGTGCCAGAGCGCTCCCACTCCCCCCTGTACATCCACGACAAGGATGGAGCCCCAGTGAGCACCAACGCCTTCCACAGCCCTCGCTGGGGCGGCATCATGGTACGGGACCATGGGGGTGCTGGCAGTTCTCGGACAAGGTGGTGGCTCCCTGTTCCCAGCTGGTGACCCTGCCAGCCCCGAGGCTCCAGCTGTGCCTCACTGCCATGCTCTCCTGCAGGTTTACAACGTTGAAGCCCCTGGTTCCCCCCAAGCCTCTCTCCCGCTGCACGTGGACGTGGACATGGCACGAGTGATGGAGGTTTTCCTGGCCCAGCTCCGGTGAGAATGCTCTCTTCTCTCCCTTTACCTCTGTGCTCTCCTGGCCCATGTGGAAATCAGTGGGGTCAGAGCAGGCTGGACCCAAGTAGCTCATTTGCTTCTCACACTGTGGGCTCTGGAAGGCTAAAGGTGGCTTTTTGTGGCTTTTGAGGCGCTGGCTACTTGCCATCACTGCTCCATGGCCAGGAGTGCTGGCACATCTCCCATCTCTTAAGGTAGGAGGGTTTGCTTATCCTGCCCCAAATCCAGGAGGCAATTAAGCAGGATGGGTACTGAACATAGCAGGGAATAAGAGCAGGGAGCTCGTAGAAATGCAAGTTTGTGGTATGGGCTGGGACTTTCCCCTCTCCTCCCAGGTTACTCTTTGGGCTGTCTCGGGAAGAGCTGCCCCCAGAGTTCCTACTGGAAAGCCCAGGGAATGAGGGGCTGGCCGACTGGGAACTGGACCACCTGCTCTGGGCCCACACTGTGGAGAACATTGCCACTGTGTCCACCACACTGACCTCGCTGGCCCAGCTCTTGGACAAGATCGGGAACATCGTCATCAAGGATGATGTTGCCTCTGAGGTAGGGCTGGGGCACCCTGAGGTGGGCAGTGGAGTGGGCTGGGTGTCCCTGTGGTCCTCCATGGCCAGGGACTGATCCTTGGCATTATTCCCTCACAGGTGTACCGAGCAGTGGCCTCAGTGCAGACTGCTGTGGCCAAGCTGGCTGTGGGCCACCTGCACTCGGCTTTCCAGGCCAGCAAGGAGGCTGTCACCTCCTCGGAGCGTGCTTTCTTTGACCCATCTCTCCTCCATCTCCTCTACTTCCCTGACGATCAGAAATTTGCCATCTACATCCCACT